TGGTAACATAAACAAGAAAATGGCATAATGCTAATCAGAGGCCAAAGTTTTGAGTGACAACCTTAATTAAGTTCACACCAGGAATTATTTACATATTAATTAAAACAAACTTTATACTGTACGGCCCTCTTAAGTGAATTAATTAATGAAGAAATAGGTCAACATCTCTCTCTCTTTATCAACTCTCTAACTTGCTATGTTTGCAAAGTGGTATCACTGAAAACACGACACTTCCCTTGCCGGCATCATCCTGAATGAGGTTGTGTCCACGGTTCTGGTCCTGGACTTCTCTACTCTGAGGCTCATGAAGTTAAAATAATTTTTCAGGTCATGAAATTTTGAGGGTTTAGATATTTAAAAACACCTTGTAAGTTAAGGACTATCTTGGGACATTTCCGATAAGCAGAGAAGCTACCGCCTTGAGCTCAGCAGTACAGTACATACAGGATTTTATGAGGTTAGGAACAAATTCTGAGACAGCTTAGCACTTCAGGGTGACCACAGAAACACTCTTGTTCAAATTTTCCTTGAACATGAACAAGAAGATAACAGAAATAATGCCAGGGTTCTGATGACCAATTTAACACCAAAATATACCTTTCAGCCAAAATTCCTCATTCTGTTATCAATACAGTCTTCCAGTTCTAATCCTGTAACACCACCTTGGAAATGAAAACACTGTTTCTAATTTTAAAATTAAGTAACAGCAGATGCTGTAGTCCCATTAAACTCTTCCAGCTGCTATTGCCCCACTGGCAACCTGAGTCTATTTAATTTGGAGACCACTAATGGTAAAAAGGGAAATCTGACTGCCAAAATTACACACCCAAGTTAACCCAGAGAGGCAGAAAATGAAAACAGCTCAGGAAAGTGAATGTATTTCTAATAAGGTTGTCCAAATGATGATGGATAATTTTTCCTGTAGTTAATAGCTTTTAAAAGGTTGTTCCTTATTAAATCCTTAATTCAAATACAGCCAAACAAGCTATGCTATCCCTAACACATCAGCTGATTTTATTCATCTTGGTTTATGCTTCCTAAAAACGAGCCTTTGCTGTAATACTTTGAAATGCAGACAGGTTTAAGTGCATTCACAGTATACCTGAGGGCATTGTTAATATTGATTAATTAAAGTGAGATATCAAATAAATTAATAAGTAGCAAGATCATAAAGACAGACTGGTTTGATACACAGGCCCTCTGCCTGATGAGTTATCACCACTCCTCAAGAGGCAGCCTGCTTCGGGTGGGGGAGAAGTGGAGTGCCTTACAGGTGGCAATGAACTGACAGCAGCGTGTAATGTAAAAATGCTTTGTCATTCACATAATGTCTAGGGTAATGAAATGAATTCACTTTCTGGCTTCCTCTCGTCTGCAATGCCAAAGAACACAGTGTTATCAGCACAGATGGAGCATGCCTGGCTCTGGAGAAGAGCCTGGTGCGGGCTACAAACAAGCCACTGTGAATACCAATGAATCCCTGAGAATCAGACCCTTGCTGTCAAATGACAGCTTTGGAAGCTCCATAAAAATGAGCGAGTCCCAGTGGTCTTGTCCAACCAAATATACTGTCACAACTCTGGACAGGCAATTTGGAAGCTGTGCAAATCACAGAAGCCGGAATGCTACTTTCCAGGGAGAAGCAAGCACCAGAAGCCGTTCCAGTCATGAGCTGTATCCCTTTCACTCTCATTTTTTAATAAGTAAAGAGGCAGTCAACAATCTACACTAAGGCAAGTATCAATTTACTTCTCTGGGTCAACCATCTCTGCTCAGGAGAAAACTCATCTAGGCAGTAGAAGAAAAGAATGGAATCACAAGTATGCTGTACGTGACTATGAAATATCAAGTTGTAACATCTAGGAACATAAATACAACATATGGAAAAATGATTAGAAAAGAGGCATACCCATCAACATACTCAGAAGTCTCTGGACCTTTGAACTCACCCCCACAACTCTGTACAATCCTTGGTCATTTATACCTAGGGGAAGAAACAAAATGTTAGTAAAACGCAATGCGATCATATCCGAAAAGCTGTTAGTCAGCCGTTGGATTTCAGAATCTTTCTAACTAACACCAGCAGTATTCCTGTTGACTACAAAAATAACTTTTGACAAAAGCACATGTTTACCAACTTGTTTTACTAGCTTTGTCTTTGTGAGTCGAGGATGAAAACTCATCTTGTAAAACAATGTTTTCTGTGGACAAAAATGCAACAAGTCAATGTTAATAAGTACGAACACACTGAAATGTACACGCATGCAATGCATGGAAACTTCTATGTTGCTCGTGTGTACTTATTGCTTACATTTTTCTTGAAAACTGCTAGCCTTTTAAAAATATGGTGATGATTAGTCCATTAGAAAGGAATGATTGTTTGGATGACTCTTGAAAACCATGGAAACTCATTCAAAACTAAATCAGAACTGTCTTTTTTCCAGCATGCTCTGTCCAACAGGAGCTCTGAAACTTCAAATAAATATCATGACAAACTATAGCAAAATGAACTAAATCACTCTTTCTGCTGAGAGCTGAGGGGAAAAAAAAGTGTCACTGAGCACAAGAGACAAATAAAGGCAAGAAAATTTATTGTCAATAGTATGCTAAGCAAACATTTTTTTATTTGAATTCTGATCTGAAAAAACCAAAGGGAAAGGATATTTTTGAACCAATCAGGAAACGTTAGCATTAAGGGTACGTAAGAAAATTAAAGTTGTGTCCTGAAAAGGGATGATATAACCTTAGATTTGTTTTAAAAGGAAGAAAAGGGACAGATGACTCAACTATGGCAAAATCTCAGTCATTACTGTGTCTGGATGAGAAGTATATGGGAGTTCTCTGGCCCAATCTCTCTGCTTTCTTTAGGCTTGAAAAATTTCATAATAATGACTTCCCCAAAATGTGGCTTATATTTACTTCTCAGAAGAGTTGCAACTTTCTGGCTGTGTGTTTATTTTCTGCGCCATGAATGTGAAAGCTAACAAGAACACAACTGGCTGACAAGGAGATGATGCTTTAAATCCCCAAGTTTCCAAAACAAAATAACACAACAAAAAGGCCATGGAATTTGCCCAAGGGGGGTTTATTTTCTTTTCACCTCCCTGCTTGGAGAGACAAAATGAATACTAGACAGAGATGAAGAACTGGATTCAAGGCACAGCTCGGTTGCTGAGCCGGACAAGAAACCTCTCAGCGCTGCATCTGAGATCCAGAACTGCAGTCCTTTAAGCTTTGCAAATGTCCTGTTTTTCTCTTCTGTCATGGGCTAAATTGTGTCCCTCGCAAAAAAAAAAAAATCATATGTTGAAGTCCCCAGTACCTCAGAATATGGTACTTATTTAGAAATAAACTCGTTAAGAGGTAATTCTGTTATAATGAGGTCATCAGGGTGGGCTCTAATCCAGCATGACTGGCGGCCTTATGTGAAGAGATTAGGGCACAGACACGCACAGAGGGAAAATCGACCATGAGAAGATGACCATCTACAAACCCAAGAGGCCTTAGAGAAACCAGTCCTACCGATTGCCTGACACTGGCCTTCCAGCCCCCAGAGTGGTGGGAAAATAATTTCTGTGTTTACGTTACTCAGTTTGTGATATTTTGTTATGGCAGCCCTAGAAATTTATGCTCACTCTCCCAACTATCTCATTGGAGCTCAAAGAGTCAGCCCTTCATTTTTACAAATCCGTGACGAATGCTGAAAAGCCACAGCAGCGGAGACACCTTCCTGGTGGGGACCGTGTACTGCCTCCAGAGAGGAGCAGCACAGCACCAGCTCCAGAGAGGAGCTGGTGGGGAAAAAAGTAGCCAAGGCCAGGCTCTGTGGTTCACACCTGTAATCCTAGCACTCTGGGAGGCCTAGGTGGGTGGACTGCTTGAGCTCAAGAGTTTGAGACTAGCCTAAGCAAAGGAGAGACGCTGTCTCTAAAAACAGAAAAACTAGCCAGGCATAGTGGTGCACGCCTATAGTCCCAGCTACTCAGAAGGCTGAAGCAAGAGAACTGCTTGAGCCCAAGAGTTTGAGGTTGCTCTGAGCTATGATGATGCCCCAGCACGCTACCCAGAGTGACAAAGTGAGACTCTGTCTCAAAAAAAAAAAAAAAGAAAAACAAGACCTTTTGAGACTGCTACTGGAGAAAAGATTGAGTCTCATACCATTCTTCTCTTAGAAGCCACAAGAGCATGTCCAGATAGCTTAAAATACCAGAGGATTTTTTTTTTCCCTACTACTCTGTTTAAGAAAACTAAAATAGTTTGACCACAGTGCCAGAAGCCAGAAAAGCAAGTCCTATTCTGCAGTCAAACAAACATGCCTCTATGAAAACTGCCTGAAATAGAGAGAGAGATGAAACAAGAACGATGCTTCAACACTAATCATCACTCTGTGCTGGTAATTACTATCAGATAACTGATCAAGTTCAAAATCATCAACCTGAAAGGAGGAGAGTTAATTGCTAATGCATAATGAGGGGTGCGAGGAGAATTAAAGCTCCACAACACAGTTTTTGCTTTTTTTAATGAAATTTAAAATAAAACTCTTACAAAAGCAACTTAGAAACAGCATGTAAAATACATACACTCAAGTCTTGTCAGATTTTTGTGTTCTGTTACACTCTTCTCAAAGGTTCTGGACTAACAAACAACTTGAGGACTGGAACATACTTTACGTGTTCATATAAAATATGTACGTCAAATAAGAATACAGGCCAACCAATATGCCAAGGCATATTAGTGGGTTTACGTGTCCTTTCTAGCTTTTCTTCCAAATTTCCCTCTTTCAAGAGGATCACTATTTCCTATCACCAATATTAGAATTTTAAAGTTATCTTTGACTTCTTCCCTGTCACCTTCCAAATTCAACAGGTCAATGCACACTCTTTCTTCAAACTTGAAACTATTATCTGCCTCAACAGTCTTTAACTTCATACACAGAGGCTTATCAAGGAATCCCTGCAAACAAACACAACTATAATCCATCCCAAACACCATCTTCTTTTTTATTCTTTTTATTTTTCAAACCATGTTTATTATCTAAGGTCTTCTCCTTCTCAAGAATGAGCCATCAGGTCAAGCCCACATTTGCCAGCCCTAACCAGTGTGTAAGCCATGAACACATAGACACCTATAGTGGCCCCCACATCGTCTACCTATGTTTAATGCAGAGTGTTTGCCTGAATCAGAGACCACCACTGACCATCACCCACAACTAACCAAACTGGTCCCATCCTCTTTGACTAGGTTCAGTCTGAAGTCTTCCCAATCCCAACAGGAATATTCCTCTTCCACTTCTCTTCACAGATTTGCTGTCATGTATTTATGCATCATCTATGTACCGGGGCTATTCTGCCCAAGATTCAACAGTGAGTAAAATGAAGACCCACCAAAATCTTCAAAACCAGATAAAAATCCCCTAACATCAGCTTATGGTGACATTCTCTTATTCTGAAAATAACCAAGTTCTCAGTCTCTTAGTCACAATTCTAATAATCAAAAGCCCAAATGGATAGGAATTCACAGTGATATTCTCTTATTCTGAACTAACTCATAATTAATCCTTTTAACATTTGATTGCATTTTAAAACAATCCCCCATTCTCTTAGTCACAAGTCCCAACATTAAAAGCATGAAAAGAGAGAAATGTCTAGATTCAGGTCCCTGGCCAAGATGGTGGAATAGACGATAACCCAGTCCTATCCCTCCCCAAAAACTTCTACATCCATCCACAGTCAAAAGTCTCTGCACGGGGGCTCAGGATTCAGATCTTGGAGTCATTTGGAGTGCAGACTGACACCCTGGGGGCTGATCTGCGAAGACTGCCCCTAGGATCAAGGCTGGAAATGGTTCAGACCTCCAAACGACTTGGCTACAACACTGTTTGGCTTGAGCCTGCAACCAAAACTATCTGCCAAGGGGACCAGAAGGAATTGCACAAACTAGTGCCTTATATTCCTGCCAATATCAGCCTCACCAATGAACTTGAAAGTTGCCCAGTGGCTCTGCTGACCACTTAGCCAGGGTCCCAGCTCAGAGCTGCTCACATAAGGGCCCAGAAGGAGACTCACCTACCTGTCATACCTAGGGAGTCTCAGCCTCCCTGAAGGGCTCACTAACCTCTGTCCCACTACAGATCCATGCTTAGGCCAGGCCTCTCCCACTGCAATCAAAGCGGTATCTCCACTGTGCTAAGATCTGCTGGGAAGCATGCCCATCTGGGAACTGATCCAGTCTTCTAGACTCAGGTCCCTGGCCAGGGTTTCCATGTAGCCCTAGTACCTTCCTTGGGTATTCCCCAGATCCATGTGGGCCAGAAAGCAATGTTAACTTAGGAACCCTCAAGAGACTCACAGCAAGCTCAGAGTGTCGTCTAGTGTCAAGATGGCTGCAGTGGTCACTCAACAGCCAGGGAACTCAACAGCCAGTCAACTTAAAACCCCTGGAAGGCACTCTGAAGGGCAGGCCCAAACAAAGTCAAACTGTGAAGACTAAAATAAATACCTAATCCCTCAATATGCAGACACTGTCACATGTTCAAGCCCCAAGAACATTCTGGGACCAGTGCCAAGACAGGCACCTGTAGATCCCAACTACCTGAGAGGCTGAGGCAGGAGGATCTCTCGAACCCAGCAGTTCTAGGTCACAGTGTACAGTGATGGTGCCTGTGAATAGCTTCTGCAGTCCAACCTGGGGAACACAATGATACCCTCAACTCTTTAAAAAAAAAAAAAAAAAATTTTTTTTTTTTTTAAGTAACATCCAGGGAAATAGGGAAATGCATATATGACCTCATCAAATAGGCAAAATAAGATACCAGTGATCCACCCTAAAGTGATGAGGATGTATAATCTCTCAGACAAAGAATTCAAAATAGCTGAGCTTCCTTCTCAACAAACTTCAATAAAACACAGAAAATCAATTCAGAAACTTACCAGAAGGATTAAAATAATTTTTAAAAGTCAAAAAGAAATCCTGGAGCTGAAACTT